GGAAAGGAGCTCAATTGCACAATGTTTCTTCCAAGACTGCTCAAGATGGCCTCCATGATGGCCACGTTGACCAAAGATGGCCTCCAAGATGGCCTTCGATGGCCTCCAAGACCGCCCAAGAGAGGAGGAGATGCCTCCAAATCCGCCCAAGAAACCTCCAAGAAGACCCAAGAGGTGCCCAAGAGGCTTCCAAGACGGCCCAAGAGGCCTCCAAGAGGTCCTCCAGGAGGGCCCGAAGAGGCCAAAAGCATTAATTGTCCTTAGGTGCTTACAAGTTTTTCGTATTTGCTCCTTGTCGGCTTTCCGACAACCCAAGACGGCCCAAGAGGCCCCCAAGATCGCCCCCACAGCGCCCAAGAGGCCTCCAAGATGGCCTCAGGACTGGCCAAGAGGCCCCAAGACGGCCCCAAGAGGGCACAAAGACGACCCAAGAGGCCTCCAAGACGCCCAAGATGGCCTCTGAGATGGCCCTGGAGCACCCCAAGAGTGCCCCAAGTCGGCCCAGAGAGGCCCCCAAAACGGCTCCCGACGGCGTCAGACGGGCCAGGAGCCCACCAAGATGGCCGAAGTTGGCTCGAAGCCGGCCCAAGACGGCCCAAGAGGCCTCCAAGAGGGCCTCCAGGAAGGCCTCCAGGAAGGCCAGAACAGACAAACCAACATTCATGTTCCTTAGGTATTTGAACAACATTGGCATTTGCTTCTTTTCGGCCTTCCGACGGCCCGAGACGGCCCAAGATTTAGTCCCCCCCAAAGGATCGCCCAAGAGGCCTCCAGATGGCCCCACCCGGCCCAAAGAGGCCCCCAAGACACGGCCCAAGGAGCCCCCCAAGACGGCCCAGGAAGCTTTTAAGACGCCCAAAATTGGCCTCCAAGACGGCCCTGGAGCATTCCAAGAGGGCCCCAAGTCGGCCCAGACGGGCCCCCCAAACGGCTTCCGACGGCGTCGGACGGGCCACCCGAACGCTCCCGGGCTCGCCGTCGCCACCAGCAGCAACAGCATCCACATCCTCACCTTCATCAACGCCGTCGCCGTAGGACGCCTCAAGTAGAAGGAGACTAAACGCCAAACACATAATTTTTTGGCGCTCCGCGCGGACTTCTTGGATCTGCGCTGGACACCTCTTGAGCCGGAGGCGCCGCCGGGGGGGCGGCCAGAGCGGATCCAAGAAATCCGCGCGGAGCGCCAACAATTTATGTATATATTGCGTTTTTCTTCTTCGATCATTATCTTCGTCATCCCAACACGCCTCAAGGAGCAGATGAATTCAGCTCGCGTTGACGCGTGGACCACAAACTGTTTTCACAATGGGGTCGAGGAGGAGGAGGAGGAAGAAGAGGACGTGGGGAGGAGGAGGAGGAGGAGGAGGAGGAGGAGAAGGAGGAGGAAGAGGAGCGCGTGGACCACAAACGGCTTTCACAGTGGGGCTGTCGCTATTTGCCGGCGCAGCACACCATCGTTCTGTTACACAGCCAGAGGCTCTGGTCCTGGCGCCGTGCATAATTACTCGGCTTCTCAAAAGGTGTCCTCGGGTGCGCGGGTGGCTGGCGAGCACCCTCGACACGACGGTGGAAGCATTGGAAGAGAAACCCTTGATACAAGGAATCCAGGATCAGGAAGCCGGTGGACATTCAATCGTGGATTGGCCATGGACTTCACCTCGGCCCTTCTCGAGTGTGGAGCCCTCCAGGGTCTGCCGACTCTTGGACCAACGCACGCACCCGCCGTGTTGGGATCTCCCCTTGGCCTCGCGCACAATCGAATACAAAGCCCAGCATTTACACTCACGTGACCCTACCTCTACGACCCGGCGTTCCATATTGTGCAACAACTAACACGGATGCGGGGCGGCTCCTCCTTCGAGGCGGGGCTTTCGCGTGAGACTTCCGCGAAGCAAACGTCCACGACTTTGACATCCTCCAACGCTTAGACTTAGGTCGGGCATGTCCCCCTACAGGGGGATTTTGGACGAAAAAGACAAATAGTCAAAACATACCTCCAAACGGTTTAAACATATTCATAACATCGTCCCCAGACTACTTTTTACATGTTCCTCCTGAAGAGGGACAGACCCGACTTAAGCGTAGACGGATGGAGGGCACTCTCTTCTGAGCGTGCGGCCATCCCTGGGTCTCCTTGAGGAGCTCTCGCGTGGAACTTCCGCGGAGCACACGTCCACAACTGCGACATCCTGCAATGGGACGCGCAGTGACATACTAATACTATATGTCCTCCTCGGAGGCGCGGGTCCGACCCGAACATATAGTATACCCATCTTGTAGTATATCGTTTCCCGAGCGGTGCGGCCAGAAAGCGCCCACCACGACGCATACACTATGAGATTTCTCGGTGCGCGCGGCGCCCCTGGGGGGCGACGCACATTTAGTATGAGTATGTTGGGTTGACGCCGACGCAAGGCTAACACGAACGGAGGAAGTGTGCTTCTCAAGATGGAGCTACCCTGCGCGTCCTTCAAGTGGAGGGAGGATCCTTTACAACAAGCGCCCTCGTCTGACTAGCGGACCGACCAGCCGCCTGGCACTCAAGGCGGGGGTGACCGCAGTGGAAACGAAGCCTGGTATAGACTTACGTAGGTCGAGCGTGTCCTCCTACAGGCGGAGTTTGGACGAGAAATCGGCCGATCTGGCTTGTGAGCTACAAGGAGCCTCAGCAAGAGCTTCAGCTCTAAGCCTAAGCAAGAGCTGCCGGGTCGCCAGGGTGGCTCTGCCGGGGAAGGGGGGAAGGGCGGGGGGTCCTCCATCTGGTGTTTCTTAATAATTTGCGCATTCCCAAGATGTTTCGGGGGGTATTAAGGACCCCCCCCAGGACTCTCCCCTCGGAACCCTTCCTGGACCCCCCCTCCCGGGGAAAGGGGAGGGGGGGGGGGGCGCGGTCCCCCATCTGGCGTTTCTTAATGCTTTGCATCCCCTAAATGTTTCGGGGGGTCCCAAGGACCCCCCTCAGATCTAGCCGCTACCGCCCCCAGGACCCTCCCCTCGGAACCCTCCCTGGACACCCCCCAGGACCGCTCCAGACACCTCCCCAGAGGGCACGTCAGCTCCAAAAAGCGTCCCTGACGACTCCAAGAGCGCCCTCCCTCCCAAACAGCGTCCCCGACGACTCCAAGATCACCGAATCTGGAGCCCCCCCAGATCGGCGGGACTGGCTGGAGGCCATTACAATTAAACAGAGTCCAAACACAATCGAGAAATGCCGAACAATACTCAGGAGATCGTCCCCAGACCATGTTTCGACTATTTCTGAACATTCCTCCTGTAGAGGGGCACGCCCGATTTAAGTATAGACTTGCGAGGAGGGACTTAGGACGGGAGGGTGTAGTGCAGAGCATCTGTTGACTCATCCTGGGTTTGCTCCTGTCCTCCCCCTTCTCGTCCTCCTGTCCCATACACCTCATCCTCCTCGCCCACAGCTCCTCCTCGCCCTCCTTCTCCTCCTCGCCCTCCTGCCCTCCTCGCCCTCCCTCTGCTCCTCCTTCTTTTCCTCGTCCTCCTCCTCCTCCTCCTCCTCCCCTGCGACGCGGACACCTATCCGGCCATGCACCGCCTGGAGGACCGATGTCCTGGGACCCCCCGGGGCGATGTATACAGCTATTCTGGGGCCCTGGAGAGCTCGAGTATTGGGAGCGCGAACACATGGATTAGCGATCCATGGATCTGGCGCGCGGTAGATGCCCTCCCCAACATGCGGCTGGTGCTGCCTCGCTGGACGGCGGAAATCCGCGATTTCCAAGGGGCACGGGACCCGTCGCGCATCCACGCCCTCTAGATCCATATTTGCGATCGCCTGAATGTAGGTTTAGGTCGGGCCTGTCCCCGTACAGGAGGATTTTGGACGAAAAATGTCGAAACAGTCAAAACATGCAAAACACATGCTCGAAAATAATCTTAAAAAAACGTCCCCATACTACTATTCTACTATATTTGAATATTCCTCGTGTAGAGGGACACGCCCGACTTAAATGTAGGGCCGCGCCTTCTGAGAAGCGGCCTCCTTCCAAGAAGCCTCCCCCCCTCCCCCAGCGTACCCCCCGTCGTTCGCGCCGCCAGGCTGTCTCATGGTGGCCCTCGCCCCCCTCCTGGCGCCCCAGGACCTTCGAGCGTCGTGGCTTCTCCAGTGGACCCCCGGGGGCCTCGACCTCGTCGCCCCCCTCTGCTCGGGCAGGAGTGCAGTCGGGCAGTATGAGGACGATGCACGACCCTCCACTTCCATCTTCCGTACCTTCCGACCTCCGCGGAAGGCGAGGAATAACTCACCGAAACTCATGGAGTCCCTGCGCAATTCGGGGAAACCCGCATAGGTCACATCGACGAGTATGCAACGGGTGCATGGGCCTTGGAAGGCCATGTCGATACCTTTCGAGAGAGGCGCGGCCAGCGAAAGCGGCCAAGGATGAGCCTAAGGGGAAGGATGCAAGGGGAAGGATGCAAGGGTACCCTTGGGAAGTCGCTCATCCTTGCTATGCAACCTGACTGTAAGACTCGGGTTGTGGGGGACTCGAGTTGGCCTGGCAAGGCCGCCAGAAATATCAAATTTGGCGCGACCTCTCGATGCAAACATCTCACGAAAACTGGACCGTCAAAATCCACAACTGCCAGTCAAAAATAATTAGCAAACCTGAATTTTCCGGCCAATTTGAATGTTACGTTTCCCCTGTCTGTCTCTTTCATCCCGAACCGCTCTTGATGACGGTCCACCCGGCAAAACGGCCCAAACAACTTGCCGCCGTGTCTGGGTAGAACCTACCGCACTTCAACGCCTTGCCGTGACGAGGGAGGCCCAGCTGGAGGTCTCCCCCCCATCATCCTGCCAGGGGGGGGCTGGGGACGGGCAACCCCTCCCAGACGGCTGCACCTTCCCATGAGTTTTCTCCTCTTCCTCCTTCCCCTCCTGCTTCCCCTCCTCCTCCCCTTCCTCCTCAACCTCCCCCTCCTCCTCCTCTTCCTCCCCCTCCTCCTCCTGCGCCCCCCCTCCCTCCCGCCACCTGGAAGGGCCCATTCACGGGCAGGTACTGGATGGTCAGCTCCTCCGAGGGGGAACGGGATGGGGGACCAGTTCAGGAGGGGGGGTATCGACCTGGACTCGGCGATGCGCCGCCGATCGAGCGGCGACAGGGCTTCGAAAGCGGAGCCGCACGCTCCCAGGCAGGGTGGGGCACCGCGGCCCAGATCTGCGACGAGTGAGCGATCGAGGGTCGACGTCGGGCATGTCCCCCTACAGGCGGATTGTGGACGAAACGTTACACATAGTCGAAACACATACCCCAAAATGGCCAACGCTAGTCCAACACATCGTCCCCAGACCGTTGTTTGACTATGTTTGAGTCTTCGTCATGTAGAAGGACGCGCCCGACTTCGGCCTAGGGCCTGGCTGCCCCTCCCTGTCGTTGCCCCTCGGGGCTCTCTGCTCCTCGGACCAAGGCTCGAACCTCCAGCGGCCGCTCGGCGAACGGCTCTGGCAACCCCCGGGAACGCTCTCGACGGGGCGCAGCTGATGGAAGCCGCCCCAGGGCCCCGAAAACTTGCGAAACACTCAAACTTAGGACAGCTCGCCCTAACTTCAGGTCGGGCTCGTCCCCCTGCAGGCGCATTCCCGACGAACCATGAGAATCAAACAATACTCCGAAATGGCTTACAACAAACACAGAAGAATCGCCTCCATACTTTCCGTTTTACCATGTTCGAAGATCCCTCCTGTCGAGGGACAGGACCCACTTAAACCGACCTGTCGTTGCCCAGGAGCTCCTCGCCCCGCCTCACGCCCCGCAGCGCCTCGACCACCAGGATGCCCCCGCGCACGAACCACAGGCACGAGGGCTCGCAGGAGTGGTTCAGCATGGCGCCCGAGGGGTACAGGCCCACGCCGACGTCCGGCCAGCTGCCCGCCCTCCGGGCGCTCATGGCGCGCCGCACCT